TATAATATATATATTTTTATATTATTAATATATTTTATTAATATTATTTATATTATTTATAATTTATTTATAAAATAAATTTATATTATTTATTTAAATTAATTTAAATTAATTTTAAATTTTAAACTTAAATTTTCTTTGGAAAAGACATTTTGGAATGTAACCTAAATATTGAATAAAATTTCTAAAAACAACTATAGAAAATAAAAGTAATTACCATGTTGATCAATTATTATCATAATGTCATTTTGAATGACCAAATCACCGTTTTCTAAACGATAAGGGATATGACGTCCTTTAATCGGATTAATGAGAGCTGTGACGGTCTCAGACATCTCAGTTCGTTCCATTTTTGTCACTTCGCAGTTCGCGCCAAGATAGCATGACGGTTAAACGAGTTACCCTGCCAACCTCTGAAAATTCAGAGGTTGAAAAAGCGACCCTAGAGTACAATTTAGTGACTTTACTCGATATTTCCGAACGCAACTGGTAAGTCAGTTTTGTACGACCCGAGTTAATTTCCGAACGGCAAATAGAAAAATTTCTACTCAGAGTAGGATTTTCGAACGCACCCAAGCAGGGTTCATAGAGTTGACTCCGAGGTAGATTTACTCATACTTTTGGAACGAATAGGCTCCGCCCATATGGTCAGTTACCTCGCGTTTTGGAACGGCGTAGAGTTACTCTGTTACTCGGAGTGAATTTTGGAACGCTCCCCTTGAGAGCGTCTGACGCGTTCCATCGCGGCAGTGTTGCCACATGGGAAAACTAAAAATCTCAATATTATATCCCTAAATGAGATTAAAATCCCAATCTCCAATACTTGACGACTTTTTTTCTCGCGCATCCGAGTAAAACAGCAAATGTTTGATATGAAGGATATTCTTAAACGGTTATCGATGTATCAAAGAGAACAAAGTACATTTGTCTCAACTCAACAACAACAAACATATCATGTATGTACATGACATATGTTTACATGTCCTACACAGATTGATATAGATGCGAATTGCACCGTACGGATCCACTAACGTTGCAAATGTTTCATTGACAATCAAAAGAAAAATTTTTTCAAATTGACTAATCAAAAAGTCTATTCGCGTTGTTTGCACTTTTTGCACATGGATTGCGTTCTGAAATTCACTGCCAATGTTGCCAACTTGCCAGTACCTACTGAAAATCTATAGTGCGCGTAACATATACTATAGATTTTCAGTACTGACAGTGCATTTCGGAACGCAGCCATGATCTTTGCTTTCTCTTTTCCAACGACGACGTAAAAAATGGCTGCGTTCAGCAGACTCAACAGTTTTGCAACCGTTTTATGATTGTCTGCTGAGATAGGACCATTCTTCTAGATCTAAAAGTATGATCCAATTAGCGCGAAGGAAACTTACAACAGTTGCAAAACAAACGTTCTGCTGAACGCAGCCATTCTAAAAAGAATCATGCCTTCTATGAAATCCCTAGAAAATTGAAGAAAATCGAAATTTTCTTAAATCTATCCCCCGATCTCAGATAATCTTTGAAATCCCCGAATCTAGGGGTAAATCCCTCGATGTGGCAACACTGCATCGCGGACACCGAATGACGCTATTGATCTCGGACAACCTCGGAGAAAGAGATTAGCGAGGAGGGAGAGATTACGTTTTCTCATAATGTCATCGAAGTCCAATTGAATGAATTGTCCGATACGTTATCAATTTAACGTAATCATTACGTCTGTTTTTTATTGCTGCACTTTCTAAACTAGTACACAGTGCAATAAGTTGAAGTGAAACAAAATATATTTGTTTCACTTCAACTTATTGCACCGGTTCAGAGTGCAGCAATAAAAAACAGGCCTATTATCAATTGTCAACCTACGCTCTTTCCCACGTGGTCACTAACATAGACTCAGTGCCGCGAATTGCGCGAATGCAAATATTGTTGTGGGACCTTGTATTTGTTTTCGCGGACCGACGGATATGGCAGACTCAAAACCAGATGACGAATTGGACTGGGTGAAAATACGTGAAGATCTGGATGACAATTATATTACAGAGACGTTTTTTCAGAAGGCGAAACGTAAAACGCGAGAGAATCCGCTGGTACCGATAGGTAAACTAACCTATATTCCGTAGAGATAGAATTTATCCCCGAGATAGAATTTATCGAACCAAATCCTTCTGTGTAACAAGAAGCTGCGGAGATGTAGCTAAGAAAACAAAATAAAAAAAATAAGAGAAACTAATACTAAAATAAGAGATTTATATGTACATCTGTGCAAAAAGAACCGTGTTTGACTGATTTGCGAGTTTGATTAGTCATCTTTAACGCAACGCTATTTTCTGCATTTGTATTTCTAGGAACATTCGCGACTGTTACAGCCCTAATGCAACAATACATGATGCGTGCTCGTGTTGGTGCTCAAGCACTTACTATCGTTAGCGTAATCGCAGGATTTATCATGCTGCCCAAGTCAAAATGAAATTAATATGTTGATTTACAAATCAATGCCAAGTTTCTACTATAGTATTAGGCTTGTCCTTGTAATGTTGGGTATGATATATCCTAATATGAATATTCCTTCTTATGTAATTTAGTATAATTTTTGTTATGTTGTTATAAGTAAAAAAATATTTTTACTTATAAAAATATAATCACAATTATTGATAAACAGATATTTTCATTAAAAATGTCCTTTTTATCATATATACAAAAAAAGTAATATTGCAATAAACTGTGTTAAAATCTTTCTAAGTATATACAGAAATTGCAAGGTTTTTGGAAAAGTAAATTGTATTTAACTTAGGTAACTATATCTATATAGTCATATATTATTATTATTATTACATTAAATATATACCATATATATAAATATATATGCATATCTTCTTACAGCCATACTAAATATTGCAATGCTCTTATATATTTTCTAAACTCTTAAACGCATTATATAATAGGACACTATAGGGTACTATAGTACTATTGTACTTGTACTTTTAGCGATATATAAGATTTCACATTACAAAAGTAGAAAAGAGAAAAATAAGAAATAGTTTAATGAATATCATTTGTACTGTATAACTATATCTAATATCAAGTTTTTCATACATATTGAATTTATATATCAATCGATACATATTACATTTTCAGCCGAATTAAAATTTTCCCTGCAATAAAAATCTCTTCAGTTAATACAGAGTGTATTAAGGCCATGTTCAGATATACACTATTAGTACGGAAAATTTACTGTACGTAATATGATTTTCAATACTGGCAATGTACTCTTAAACCGAGAAATTATATTTAATTGAACTTTTCTCCACCTCAGTTATCAATTAAAGTATTTTAATGTATACATCTCTGGTCAAAATTGAAAAGTTCTAGCTTATTCTCGCGTAAGAATTACTCGGCACTTTATGATTCTTCTTGAAAAGAATTAAAATCGTTACGTTTTTTTATTAGCTAAGTGTGGCTTTAAAGAAATGGCACCTTGTTTAAATACACCGCTGATACTCAGTGAACGCGAACGTAGGCTTGTTAGGCTATTTGTGGAACTACAACTGCTTAGACTAGTACTAGGTGTGAGATCAAAGATCGTTTGTACAGTAGATCTTGTGGATGAATAATCCGGGATCGATTCTATAATAAAGAGATAATTAATAAATTAATTTGATAGATTCCAAAGTTTTATAGTTTTAGAACTACATAATAACTTGTGCATTTACCTATTAAAGGTGTCTCGTCGTATAAGGAACCCTGTCTTTTATTACTGATAAAGGAATTTCTCGTGCTTTCAATGCTAGACACCCTTTGAATAACTTCCGCGGCATGTTTCCATCTCGAATGATCATTAATGTGTACCAATAAGAGCTTTGACCATTTTTGAGCTTCTTCCTTTGATTCGAATTTAATTGACAACAGTTTTTCCATACTGTTGCCAGAATTATTTATCAGAATTTCTTTTCCGGAAATTTTGGACGGTTGAATGATTGTTCTCTATACAAATGATAAAAAAAATTATTTAAATGAAATAATGAAGTGCAATTGTGTAAGAGATCTATAAGAAAAAATGTCAACTAACTTTATTAATAGGTATTATGTGTTCCGGATTTTGACCTTCTTCCGCATGCTTCTTTGATTCCCATATTTTTATGCAAAATCCTTGCAGACGTGCCCAATAATCTTGACTATCAATTTTCACGTTGCTAATGCACATTTCCTTATTAATGGATTCTGGCTGTACCGCCAATCGACAGCAAAAGTGACCGAAAAGCGGTAAGGAGTGATATTTGTTCTCTGAAGAAAGAATCATAATATAAGTATTTCGAGAAATTCGCCGAACTCTCGCACAACTTACCGATGCTATTAATAACAAGGTCGTGCGTGTGAGTATTATCATCCGTGTCGTCTAAGGTCAATTTAGCACGAGCTACTAAATCAAAGTACGGTCCACTGAAAAGAAAATATAGTCAAAACACTTATGAATGAAGCTCAATTAATTTATATATTTATGAAAGCAGAAACTCACGATTTGGCGGAACCGAATTCATCGCGAAGCGAAGCAGCGAGTTTCTTGCCGACGGTTTTCGAAATCGACGAGTGAATAGTTTTTTTAATTCTTCTCGGCGTGCTGGCAATACTTAAGTCCTCTTGCAAAACGTGGCTATAGACTTCTAAGATTAACTCAAACTCGGCTGGCACATTATTACTGAAAACAGATACAAAAATTGACAATTATAAAATTATTATGCATGTTCTTTAAGTAAGTAGCACGATTACGAATAACTTTAACTTGTTCTTGCCTCAAATTAGATTTAATATAAGGATGTATTAATCATCGGAACTTACAATAATAAGACATCGGGAAAACTGAGATCCGTATGAGCTCTATCAATAGGGCATAATAAGGAGGTGTCATGGATTTCTGTGCCCAATCGTGCTAAGCAAAATACAGCGAACCGACGATGATCACCGCGATTCTTGAAGTGATCGGAGTCTCTCCACATTAACGGTATCCTAAGATCCGAGATTGATAACTTTCCCGTACTTCTAGAAATACTGGAAACACACGCATTGACGTAATTATTACTAAATTATAAACTCTTTTTAATTGGATATCCATTCGTATAAGATGAACTATGAAGAAATGACAGCGACTCAAGACGATTTAAATTGTACTCACCGCAAATTTAGTAGATTTGTAATTTTTATTCTGTTTTAATATTTTGACTTATATTATGTAAATTAGAATTTGTGTTTAGTTATGCAATCAACATTGAAAAAGTCCTAGTATAAGGATAAAACGATTGTTGTTTAAAAGATTTGAAAGACTAAATATTAGCAATTAAAAACTAGCGTTGGCTCTTATATGTATAGCCCCTTGTTACTTTTATTATTGTATTACTAAATTGTCATGAACAAGAGATATATTGGATGTCTCTTCTTATTATTTCTACGACAAAACAAGCGCATGAACGAACCAGGATTGTTTAGAAGATTCACGACGGCGGCTTTGCAATTCCGCCATGTAAACCGACATCCTCTCGTTGGACGTAAGCAACGCTTTGGCGGCCTCCAAGCTCTGGGCGCGATGTTTCGCAGCCGCCAAAAGTCTCGCCGAGCCTTCTCTCATCTTGATTTCCACCTCGATCTTCTGCTCCAGGTCATGCTCCTGCAACATTATTCATGGTATTTTAGCAATCAATTCGCGCGTCATCGATTCAGCCATGAAAATCTCGTCGGAATAATCATTTGAATTTTAAATAGAGTTATTTCAAGAGACCATCAACTCGCATACTATGGTTGTAGGAAACGTAATTTTGCACCGGTATCTTTGCATGGTGCTGAATATACAGACGTAAAGAAAAAAAAGGAAGGAGCAACCGATAGTTACGATCGGAGAAAAATCGAAGTGTCAGCGATAAAATGAGTGGTTGGCCAGCACGTGGCCCCATCACGCGTTCATGGCATCAGGTTACATACCTAACGAAACGTCTTACACATTTTGCGAACGAATCGTTTTACTCATTTTACCGGTCTTCCTGAGAGGTCCGTAGACCGATTTGTAAAGCGTACAATTTAAAAACTCCGCGATTCCGAGTAGGGTATCTCGGAATTGTAGAGTTTTCAAATTGTGTACGTTTTCTAAGCATGTAAATATATAATCACGAAACTTCTCTTGATTGTCTGGACAATTGTCTGCGCTAAATCGATTATTTCTTCAAATTATTATTCAATCAAAATGTTGAAAATTGCGGCTTTACATATGCATTACGGCATTAACAGTTTATATTTATGTTTAGAATTGTGAAACTAATATTGTCACAGAAATAATAAATATAAATGTGAAGACTATAAGAGTCAACGCTAGTTACAAACATGCGTAATATTTTAATAATAAATTAATACAAAAAATTGGGACGTTTTAACTCAACTTTGAGTCATCTTCAGCCTATACCTCTTAAACATAACGCCGCTAATTTGAAATATTGCATCGCAAATCTATATCCAAATTTCCTGAATGTGGTCGGAGCAAACGTGGGACAATTTGACTGTTTGTTAAGGAGGTTCTCGCGCTACTTCCTAGTCAAAATAGACGGTTTATTCATAATAATATGTAAAACAATTAAAATAATGGAATAAAAAAGTTACTAACAATATTTTATGCCATTATATATAATTATTGTTAATTTTATGTTACTAAATATTTTCAAAATGACAAAATAAAAGTTGTAAGATGCTCATTTGATGTACACGCATCGTCCATTTGACATAAGTTTTTTTCATTGAAGAATATAAATTTCTTGTAAACTGTACGGTCAGTTTAAATAAAACTTTACGAGAACAAACTTAAGTGTTTACTTTATAATTATAACGATTTTTAAATTGCTGTCTTATAAGGAAGTGCCTCAATTTAAAAGAGAATAACTACAGAATAAGGTTATACCTCCAACTTGTAATGTAAAATTCTATAAATTTAGAATTAAATATCTTCAAAATGGTACGGTAAAAGTTAATGAAATTTTTTCTAGATATTATTGATATTATTAACTTTTGCATTACATGTATATTATAAACTTGTCTTATATTTCATCGAACGCGAGAACTTCCTTAAACTGATAAAACATGTTTTAATTATTCCGGAATGTTCAATCTTTTAAATTTTAATGTGTGACGAGAAAGAAATTTTCGACTTCATTTACAATGATTATTAACTGGTTGTGACCATTTTGGATTTTGTGAGCTTGAGTTTTTATAACCACTCAGCTTTGAAACTGTTGTTGGACAACATTTATTAATGTTGGAACACGGCTAGTCTCAACTACGGCTTGTCTCAACGTTTGTTCCATGATGACCACGTTCAGGAAATTTGGATATTGATTTGCGATGCAATATTTCAAATTAGCGACGTTATGTTTAAGAGGTATAAGGCTGAAGATGACTTAAAATTGAGTTGAAACGTCCTAATTTTTGGATTAATTTATTATTAAAATATTACGCATGTTTACAATGTTTACCAGCGTTGACTCCTATAGCCT